AAAAAAAAAAAAAAGAATGGTAGTCATATAATCAGATTTATGTTATACAAGGATAATTTTGGCATCCATGTGAACGATAGATTCAAAACCAAAGACAATGTGAGCAAGGATGGATGTTAGATACATAACAGATATTCAAATAATCCACTTGAAAAATGGTCTGGGATTATTGAATTAAGCAGCTTTAGAGATCCACACAGCAGATCGGAGAGATATTTCACAGGAAAGTAACAAATAGAGAAGAGAAGGAAGTCTTGGAGCTTTGTGATTTGGTACCAAAGTAATAATAATAATAATAATAATTACATCATTAACCAAAACAAGAGTATTAAATGAAAGAGCAAATTCGGGTAGTGAAGTTTAAAGAGTTCTATGAATATTTTGGACATGTTGCATTTTAAATCCCTGTAGGACACGAAGGAGGAGTTGCCCAGCGTACAGTTCTGTATACAGCTCTGAAGCTTAGCGGAGAAAGCAAGATTTGAAAAGTAATATGGGAATTGTTGGCTTTAAGGAAGTGATTAAAGCCACAGAAGTGAAGGATGTATGACAAGTACCCTGTGTAGATATGTAGATGAAGTAGAGAAAGGGCTCAAAGATGAGACCCTGGAGAAGAGCAACTTTGTAAGGGCAATACAAAGCAAGAAAAACCAAGAACGGAAACTTAGTGAAAAGTGGCTACAATGTCAGGGTGATATATTATTATAGAATTCCTGGAGAAGATTTTGAAAGACTTTAAAGAATTAAATAGAATTAGGTCTAAAACTGGATCCGTAAATATGGAAATACGGCAGTCACTGATGGTCTCAGTGAAAGCAGTTTTTAAATTTATTTATTACATTAACAAATAATGATTGCATGTATCTATGGAATGCAACATGATCTTTTAATCTATGCATATACTGAAGAAAGATAAAGTCAGGCTAATTAGCATCTGTTAGCATCTGTTACCAATTGACTTTTCTGGAGTAAGAACGTTAAAAATTTATTCTTTTTTAATTTTTAATTATACCATACCCTAGTACTAACTGTAGTCACCATGCAGGAAAGGAATTTCTTTCCTTTCAAAGGCTGAATAGTCTTTCATTATCTATATACCACATCTTCTTTATCCACTTATCCCTTGGCTATTGTAAATAATGTTGAAATGAACATGGGAGTGCAAGTACATCTTTGACATAATAATTTCAATCCCTTGGATATGGAACCATAAGTTGATTGATGGATTATATTTTTTAATTTATTTTATTTTATTTTTAGAAATAGGGTCTTTTTTGTCACCTGAGTTGGAATGCAGCGACACGATTAGTAGCTCACCATGATTTCAAACTCTTGGGCTCAAGGGATTCTCTTGCCTCACTGCCTTCCTTTCTTCCTTTCTTTCTTCCCTACTTTCATTCTTCCTTTCTTTCTTCCTTCCTTCCTTCTTCCTTCCTTCCTTTCCTCTTTCTTTCTCTCTCTTTCTTTTTTTTTTTTCTTTTTGGTAGAGATGGGGGGTCTTATTATGTTGTCCAGGCTGGTCTTGAACTCCTGGCCTCAATCAGTCCTCAGACTTCAACCTCCTAAAATCCTGGGGTTACAAGCCTGAACCCTCACACTTGGTTAGATTATATTTTAACAATCTAGTTAGATGCTATACTTCAAGTTCCTGAAGAGGAAAAGGAGAGAAATAAATGGTTCCTCTTGGAATAGAATTTCTGATAGAAGCAAGATGATAACTAAAGTTAGAGGATGTCAGCAAAAGATTATTGAGGTTTGGAGCTTATATGCTTGCTTAAATAAAAAAGGTTCAAGTATGTTTACAAAGTGAAAGAAGGATATATAAAAGGAAGATTAGAAAACAGAGAGATAAGCAACATGGCAAAGGGAGATGGTCCCACCAACCAGTAGTCTGGGACAAGAGTATAAATGGAAATTTCAGTTTCTTCCACTTAGATGAAAGGCCATGAAAAATATTAATGCAATTATAAATAAATAAATATGTAAATAGGAGGAAAAATTGTAGAAAATTCAGTATTTCCTTTCAAGGAAGAGTGAAACCAGAGAGTGAAGAAAGCAGAACTACATAAACCCAGAGACACATGTCTTGCCATTGTGCATTTTTGGAGAGTTTCTGGAGTTGCTTCCAAACTTCACATTTGACAACATGAGCTTTAAAATTAGATATATTTTGTTCTACCATTTATTGAATGACCTTGGACAGGATTCTCTAACTATAAAATGGGGAGTAATAACATGATGTACCTTCTAGAATTCTTGTCTGAAATAAATAAGATTAAGTACTTATGCGAGCATTCAATAAATGTTACCAATCATTCTTATCATCATCATCCTTTTCATTGTAATTGCATTTTCAAGAGAGTTTAGTATTTTTGTATTCTTTCACTGCCAAATTTTAAATATCATAAATTAATGGGAAATATTTCATTTCTCTTAAGCGTAAGTAATTTAAATTCATTGGTCAAAACTTATATGGTAAAATTTAGCATCTTAATAATGAATAATTTCCTAACTGAATGACAGAGTTTACAAAGCACTTTATAACATGTTATATAATTTAATACACAGAATGACTTCTTTAATACTATTACTAACAACCACTGTTTCTCTCTTTTTAAAGATGAAGAAATTGTAACCCAATTTGTTTATTCATTTATTGAATACATAGTTCATTTACTGAATACAGATGGCTTACTCATGTGAGGTATATTAGGCACCTTGTTAAACCCTGAAGATAGCAAAAACAAACACAATTTCCCTTCATGGAACTGCAGTCTACTAGATGTGGGTAATAAGCCACTTCTAATCTGCGATTGTGAAACAACATGTGTTATAACAGCTCTGAATAAAAGTTACATGATTCTATGAAAGCATATAAGAAAGTAACAAAACCTTTTCTCAAAGTGGGAAATGTCTTCCTTGAGGAAGTTATGTTTAAGCCCAGACCCAAAGGATGAGTGGGAGTGGGTTAGTTAAAAAAGAGTAAGAGAAGTGTACCCTGGGAAGAGAGAATTTAAATAAGAATAAGTCCTGGGATAGGAACTGTGTCTAGAAAACTGGAAAAGGTCCCATGAGCCTGGAGTCCCAGGGAGAAGTGTATGGTAGAATAAAATGAACTGACATGTTAAGATGGAACTAGAAGACCATGGTAAGGACTTCTAAACAAGAGCATGTTAGACACGTTGGCCCTCATTCTAGAAGCAATGGGAAGCCACAAATGATTCTACTTCAGTGAATAGTTTGAACGTCTGTTAAAGATCACTCTGGCTTCTACATGAAGCACAGATAGGGTGAAGGAGGCAAAAGCAAAAGATGACTTTCCAGTTAGGAAACAGTGGAAGAAGTCCAGATGTCAGAGAAAGGCAGGTCACCCCAGGAAGGTGACAGTGGTGATATATAAAGAAATGGACAGAATGAAAAAACATTTAGTAGTAAAAATGATGGAATTGAATTGGGAGGGTCAATGAAGAAAAGAAGTGTCAAGGATTCCTTCTAGGTTTCTGTCTTAAGCAAATAAGTGAGAATGGAGACATTCACGAAGATGGGACACGCTAGATGACATGTACACTACATGTATTTATCTTATAGTAGCCTTTTATTTTTTACACCTAGTATGCCATGAACTCATAGGAAATAGGTTCCAGCAGCTCAGGCTCCTTTCCTTGGTACTCACAGAGTGAGCTTCTCTGGATGGAACAGGCTGGAGCTTCAGTTGAAGCCAGACGCCTTTCTCTTGGGCTTCCTTTTTTCTGACCATTTTCCTTTGGGCTTTTAAGGAAGTTATCTCAGCTCTTAGAGTGCTTGATATAATCGATATGCACATTAATCCTGTTGGGAAGAATCTTGCCCTTGTATGTTTACAACAACGCCAACAGCATGCTGAGTAAGACTGTAAACTCTTCTAGTCTTGCCATGGTAACATCTGTGGGGCATGCATTATGAACACAGTGTCTATTCCCTTTATGTCTACAATATCACTTTCTTGTAGATGCGTATATATGTGGCCAAAGGAATGACTAAAAAGTCTAGAGAACATGTATCGGGTGCCTCTTCTCTTTCCCTTGGTGTTCATCATTCTGATGAATTACTGGAAGATGATGTCTCTGGCCGAAAGGCGATATGTAAATTTTAGAAGTCTTGCTGTTCAGGTTGGCTTTGAGGTGTTCTTCAGCTGCTGAATTTACAGATCTGGAAGTTCAAAAAGAAATCTGAGCTAGAGACCCCATTTTGGAAATCATCCACAGAAGAATAGGAATTAAGTCAAGATTATAGATGGATTTCCTTAGAGACAGGGAGTATAAGGTAATTAAAAAACAGCCTTGATATTTAGATTCATAATCCTTTATTCTTTTCAGATAACCATGCTACTTTTGCATGTAATGTTTGTAGTATCTAAACACAATATTGATATGGCGCTCTCAATACACCACTGACTTCTTATCACTGACTTTTTAAACTTGTCTATAAATAAAATCAAAGTGTAATCATATGTGAGGAACAAAATCAAGAACTATTCATCAACTTTAAGTTGTAATTTTAACTCACTAATACCATGACTGTTTGTTAACTCTCAATATCTATATGTAAGTCTATAAATTATCTATCAAGAAATAGGTCTGTACAATTTCTGTGTCTCTTTAAGTCCAAGATTCATTATTATTGATAGTCCTTTTGGATTATAATTGGACAAGTGTCCCAGTCTGATTACACAAGTTTCATTGTATATTTCTGTTGATACATTTAGAAAGCTAATAAATAATATTCCCAAGCTAATCTTGTGATTTTAGGAAAGTGCATATGGTAATATCAACACAAAAAAATCAAAAGTTTTTGCTAGAATTACTATAGAAAGTCCATGGGCTTGCTGTTCTGGATATTTTTCCGTTCCAGAAATAAAAAGTCTTGGTAAAATACTTAAACTCTCAGAGTTTGAGTTTCTTCATCTGTATAAGAAGAATATTGAACTAGATCTCCAAGTTTCCTTGGGTTCTAATATTTTGAAACCATGTAAAAATCCTTGAAGGAATATGAATTATTCAGTAGGTAGAGGTTTATAATCATCTTAAAGAATCTTATTCACCACTTTGCCTAGAAAAAAATTTCTTCTGTCACATCTGATCCTTTGAGTAGTAGAAAAATAGCAAAAATGTTCATATTGATATGTTTTCTTCTAAGCTAATGCTATCAGACTCAAAACCTTTTGGAGAAACACTTCTGCATTTCTGATCAGTTTCTAATTCTAACCTGACATTGGGGCTATTAACTGTGAGTAGTAGCCTCGTGGCATATCCTACATGAATTCTTGCTGTGCTGCTCTGGAGTCCTGACATTTCCATTACATTTATATGTGATCTCAGATTTCTTTGCTTTTCAGTTTATTCAAAGTTGCTTTTTTTAAAAGGTCAACATTTGTTACATTCCATTTGGCTTTTACCTATCACTTCAACAGTTCTTTGAGTAAGACATTGTTCTTCTATGATTTTTTTTTCAAACTAGAAAAAGAAGAACAAATGAGAAAAACAATGCTATGGGGGAGAAAATAAGAAAAGAATAGAAATGATGAATAAAAAGCCACATGGAAGAAAGTAAAGGATGCATTTTTTTTTTTTTTTTTTTTTTTTTTTTTTTTTTTTTGTGGAGACAGAGTCTCACTTTATCACCCTCAGTAGCAACATCTAACCCTTGGGCCCAGGCAATTCTCTTGCCTCAGCCTCCACAGTAGCTGGGACTACAGGTGCCCACCAAAATGCCTGGCTTTTTTTCTGTTTCAGTTTGGCTGGGGCCAGGTTTGAACCCACCCACGGTATATGGGGCCAGTGCCCTATCCACTGAGCCACAGGCGCTGCCCAGAATACATTTTTCGGTTGAAATTTTATTTTATGTCTCCACTGGCCTTGTTGAAAGATCACCTAGAACCATTCCTAGAGCCCTCTGAGATGAGAGAGATTATAAGTAGTTGAGAAAAAAAGATGCATAATGACAACTTCTGAGTCTGAATGTTGGTTAGATGACTTTTGAGCCAACATGTGCCCAGGAAAGAGATAGTGAGAATACTTCTGTCTTAGAAACAGCCCACAGAGGCTGATTATTTGACTCAGGGTCCAGAAAAACAACACATCCCAAAACTGCCATACACCAGTGGTTCTAAAAGTGAGGTCTGACGTCCCCAAAATATTTACAGGTGTCACAAGGCCAGAATTATTTCCTTAATGATTCTAAGATACCATTTGTATTCATCATACTCATTCACTCCTATGTGTGGAGTGCAGTTTTCCAGGGACTTTGTGTCATACAATATTGCAACAGATTTAATGCAGAAGAAGATAAGAGAATCCAGCTGTCTTTCATTAAGACAGACATTAAGGAGATTTGCAAGAAATGTAAAACATTATTGCTAATCTCACTAAATATTCTTTGTTTTTGAAAGCATAACTATTTTTAGAACTATATTATTTATATTAACATGTAATGGGTTTATTATTGTTATTTCAAATGAATAACTACATAATTTTTATATGCCCTGGATTTATTTCCAATGTGGTAATTATTATTATTATTATTTTTATTGAATGGTAACTATGTACATTAATGCACTTCTGGGGCACAGTGTGGGGTTTTCACACACAATCCGAAACACTTCCATCAAACTGGTTAACATAGCCTTCATGTCATTTTCTTAGTTATTGTGTTAAAACGTTCACATTCTACTCTTAGAAAGATTCACTTGTACCCTTCCTTGTAAGATAAACCTCAAAAGTGATCCCTCCAATCCCCCTCCCTCCACCCATTCCCTCCTCCCCTCTCCCTCGGTAATTATTGATAGATGTAATTTCCACATAAACAAAATCTCTTTGGAGTCTTTAATAATGTTTAAGAATATAAAAGTATCCTGAGATCAATAATTAGAGAACTATTGCTGTCCAATACTAACCACTGATCAGTTATTACCTCTACCTCAAGCCAAAGAGTTACCTAAACAGTCAGCAGTCTTCCTTTCCTGCACATGTAAGCACTACCATTTCAACGTAATCCTTTGCTTGACCCTACACTTTATGTTAACCCTACATTTTTGGCAAGATATACAATTGATACTTCACTGAAGTTCCTTTGATAAATGTTTATCTTGAAGTTACTTTAATTTTACCTAATTTTGTTGTTCCGTCTGAGTTTTTAGCCACGTATCCTAAATTTCATAATAGGCAAAAACTTTTTTTACCTTACATACCTCCAAACAAGTAATGAAAATGTAATTTGAATGACTGTTATCTTTTTTATATGTCAAACCATATCTCCATTTCATGATCTATTTTCTGATTGATTACGAGGAAGTTTCTCATAAATGTAAATAAGTCCGGAGTCAAGTTGACATCAGTTTGATGAATATTCTAATAGTACTTTTGTTTTTCTCCCCGATAGAAGACATGAGGTCTGTTTCCCCATATTTCATATTCTCAGGGTTAGCAGAAATGTTTAAAAGTGTTTCATGGTTTATGATAAACAGGAATTATATGTGTATTTTTCAAGGAAATCAAATAAAGCATGATAACCTGGCTAGTGGAAAATTCAAAACAGGTTGGAGTATTTCTGTTACATCTGACATTTCAGTGTGTAAATATCACACCAAAGTCAGAGAACAAACGGGTAGCCCTTACCTACCGAGGAGCGAGCTACTGAGCATGAAATGCCAACAACTATATCCCAAAAGAATGTTTAAATAATTTCAGATAATATCGCAGGAAAGAAATGCCAGGATCTATGGAACATATTTGTCCATTGATCTAGACCTGAGTTCAGGGGCTCTGAAAAGGTATTAGACATAAATTCTCAGGAAGCCTATCAGGTTAGAGGAATATTCTAAGTCAACTAAAAAGTGGGATGCTTGCTCTTTCACACAGCAACATTCGCTCTGAAAAGGGCATAGGATGCAGAGTGTTTTTCTAGTGCTGGCAATGAGTTTGCAATTATTCATATGCATTTATGAATCAGTTGTATAAACCTTACTTTTAAAAAAGTATTTATTAATTTGTTTAGTAATTAATAAAATTTTCATATAGAAAATTTGAAAAGATTTTAAAACTAAACTTAAAAGAGCAAATTAAAGTCACCTAAGAAAATTCCATTCAGACATTCGGTATTAATATTTTGATCCTTCTCATCAGGCTGTTAATCATATCCGAATATAGCCTTAAAATAAATTCCCAAAAGTTATATTACTAGATCAAGGAATAAGCACACTTGAAAGGCTTTTTTTTTTTCTTTTTTGCACTTTAAAGCATGTTGCCATATATTGCCAGCGAGGTATGAAAGAGCCCATGTCCCAGGAACTTTAGTAATGCTGCCGGCAGCCATCCTTTTCAATGTGGCCAACTTTTCTTAAAATAGTCAAATGTGAGTTACGCTTGCATATGCTTTAATGTCAAGTTAGGCTTTAGTCACATCTCAGGATGTCTGGTGGTTAGTTTCATAGCAACCTCTCTTTCAAATCCTTCCTGAACTTCAAGTACGAGTAATGAATAAGAAGGAAACGAAGTCCTTTCCATCAAAGTACAAAAATATTCTTCCCAGCATGTACACATATTGATACTAATATATAATTTTCGTTTTGGACTATACCGCATAGGTACTATATTTCTAGCTGGTTATTTCCCTGATCCTCAGAAAAGTACAGCCACATCTCACTTTACTGAGCTTTGCCTTGCTGTGACTTTTAGATACTGCTTTCCTACAAATTGAAAGTTTGTGGAAATCTTGCTTTAAGCAAGAGTAGGGGCGTGCTTTTTCTAATAGAAAGTGTTGGCTTCATGTCTCTGTCACATTTCGGCAGTTCTTATATCAAACTTCTTCATTATGGTTATATTTGTTGTGGTGACCTGTGAAGAGTGATCTTTGGTGTTACTACTGTCATTGTTTTGGGGCGCCCCAGACCACAGTGGATGGCAAACTTAACCAACAAACATTGTGTGTGTTCAGACTGCTCCACCAACCTGCTGCTCCCCCATCTCTCTCCCTCTCCTTGGGCCTCTCTATTTCCTGAGACACATTGACATTAAAATTAAGCCAATTACTAACCCAATCCTGGCCTCTAAGTGTTCAAGTGAAAGGAAAGCTTGCACACCTCTTACCTCAAATCAAAAGGTAAAAGTGACTGAACTTATTAAGGAAGGCACATCAAAAGCTGAGGTAGACCAAAAGCCTGACCTCTTTACCACACAGTTAGCCAAGTTGTGAATGCAAAGGAAGAGTTCTTGAAGGAGATTAGAAGTGCTACCCCAGTGAGGACATGAATGATAAGAAAGTAGGACAGGCTCCTTGCTGATGTGGAGAAAGTTTGAGGGATCTGGATAGAAAATTGACCCAGCCACAACAGGTTCAAGCTTAACGCAGAGCAAGGTCCTAATACTTTGCCAGTGTATGAAAGCCGAGAGAGGTGAGGAAGCTGCAGAAGGAAAGTTGGAAGCTAGAAGAGGTTGATTTGTGAAGCTTAAGGAACGATGCCATCTCCATAACTTAAAAATGCAAAGTGAAGCAGCAGGTGTTGCTGTACAAATTGCAGCAAGTTTTCCAGAAGATCTAGCTAAGATTGCTGATGAAGGTGTATACAACACCTTATGAATCAATGTAAACCAGACTGCCTTTTATTGGAATAAGATGCCATAGCTAGAGAGGAGAAGTAGAGATGTGGCTTTAAACCTTTGAAGGACGGGCTGACTCTCTTTTAGGGGCTAATGAACTTGAGGACTTTAATTGGAACCCAATGCTCATTTACTATTCTACACATCCTAGGGGTTTTCAGAACTATGCTAAACCTACCCTGTCTGTGCTATATACATAAATGAAATCAGAAAGCCTGAATTACATCACATCTGTTTACAGCATGGTTTACTGAATATATTAAGCCTACTATTGGTACTTACTGCACAGAAAAAAGAAATTTTCTTTTAAAGTATTCCACAGCTCAATGACCATGCATCTAGTCACCCAGGAGCTCTGATGGAAATGTATAAGGAATTTCATGTTGCTTTCATGACTGATAACACAGCATCTATGTTTAAGCCCAAGAACCAAGGAATAATTTTGACTTTTAAGTCTTACTGCTTAAGGAAATATGTTTCTTAAGGCTATAGTTGTCATAGATATTGATTCTTCTGATGGATATAGGCAAAGTAAATAATAAGTCTTCAGGAAAAGATTCATCATTCTTGATGGTGTTAAGAACAGTTGTGATCCATGAGAAGAAGTCAAGAGGTCAACATTAACAACAGCTTAGAAGAAGTTGATTCTAACCCTTATTTATGACTTTCAGAGCTTCAAGACCTCAGTAGTGGAAGGAACTGTAGATGTGATGGAAATAGCAAAAGAACTACAGTCATAGGTGGGCTTAAAGATGTGACTGAATGTCTGTATCTCTTGATAAAATTTGATGAGGAGTTGCTTCTGTGGATGCCCAAAAGATTGTTTTCTTGAGATGAAATCTTTTCCTGCAGAGATGCTGTGAGTGCTGGTGAATTGACAACAGAGGATGTAGATTTCTTACACATAAACTTAGTTGATAAAGCAGCAAGAGGGTTTGAGAGGATCAACTCCAATTTTGAAAGAAGTTCTACTGTGGTTAAAATGTTGGCTCGGCGCCTGTGGCTCAAGTGGCAAAGGCGCCAGCCACATACACCTAAGGTGGCGGGTTCGAATCCAGCCCAGGCCTGCCAAACAACAATGATGGCTGCAACCAAAAATAGCCAGGCATTGTGGTGGGCGCCTGTAATCCCAGTGACTAGGGAGACAGAGGCAGGAGACTCGCTTGAGCTCAGGAGTTGGAGGTTGCTGTGAGCTGTGATGCCACAGCACTCTACCCAGGGAACAGCTTGAGGCTCTGTCTCAAAAAAATAAATAAATAAAAATAAAATAAAATGTTATCATCACGTGCTATAGAGAAATCTTTTGTGAAAAAATATTGCAAACTTTACTATTGTCTTATTTTAAGAAATTAGCAAACCCAACCCAACCTTCAGCAGCCACTAGCATCAAGGCAAGACTCTCAACTAGTCAAAAGGCTAGGACTCCCTAAAGGCTCAGATGCTTTTTAGCATTTTTAACAATATTTTTAATTAAGGTTTTATAATTAATTTTTAGACAATTCTATTGCATACTTAATAGACTATGGTATAATGTAAATGTAACTTTTTATATACTGGGAAACCAAAATATTTGTGTGACTTGTTTTATTGTGATAGTCACTTGATTGCAATGGCGTGGCACCAAACTTACAACGTCTGTGAGGTATGCCTTAACATTCTTCTTTTCTGTTACCTTCAGATTTGCTTTTCCTCTTGCCTTTTGGGCAAAGGAGAAAAAACATCTTGAATTTATATGAGTGGTGTTTGTTAAATTAAACCTCTTGTGATCAATGTAAACTCTCTCAGAATGAAGGGGGAAATAAAATTGACTCCATAGTGATCATTAGTATCATCATGATCAATGCATTTTTATTTACAACCCACCATATATAGAGAATGGTGCTAAATCCTAGAAATAAATGAGGAGCTAGAACAGGCCTTATCCTCAGTTGATTTCTTTAGAGGTCGATAATTGAAAACACATATATTAATAAAAACAAAAGTATTTGTTGTATTAATAAAAATGAATGTACATTTTTCATTCGTTCTTTACAAGGTTTTTGTTCTCAGTCCTTATGTTAATATTGTTATTGTCATTAAATTTAGCCTTTTTAATTCTGTGAAGGCAAAAGTGGAAACCTAATATACACATGGATAAGTAAGAAAAAAAAATAAAAACGAAAAGACAAATTCTAACAAACATACCCTAAGTACCCAGCGGGAGTCAAGTGGTATCTGATTTAACCAGTGGTCAGTTAAGCATCAATGTATACTAACTAACAGTCCCTCTAAGACTTCAAACTGTTCTCAAACTGACCTTGATGTCTGTAAGCTTCAGACAAATGGTTTAGTGATGAAGAGCAATAAATTAGACTCAATCACATTTAGTCAGGAGAATTTAAAGTATTTGTGCTAAAACAAGCTCATCAGCTTCTAGCTTTGCATTTTTATTGTCCCCTGTCTATTCTCCATCGGTGCATGATGTTATGCTGAGATCTTCTGACCTTTGCAATACTTCATGAGATGTGTCTGGACTTAAGTTCTCACTGGGTCTTGTTGCTGGAATGTTCAAAGGGGGAGAGATATTGCAAATGTACTTGCAGGTCAGAAATAAGAGTGTTGAGTGACTACCTTTGGAAGTGAAATTATTTTTGCAATTAAAATACTCAGTTTAAAAGACATAAAAAGTAACTTATTTAGCATTCCATTACAAGCTGCTGCAAAGAACAGTTGAGTCGAGAAATGTATTTTTTTTTTAGCAGCACAATATTCATTTCACCTTTCAGTAGCCTGATACGCTAGGAAAAAAAAAAAAAGAAAAGAAAAGAGTTGGACATCAGAGACCTTAAAGTTTTATGACCTCCATAATCCCAGGAGACCATCTTTGCAGCCCTCTCCTGACTGTGAAGGTTGAAAGCATTCAGTTAATTCCCTACAAAAGGAATTTGGAGTTACATTTATTTGCTTATTCATTTCTTAGTTTGCAAAATGAGTTAGTATAACTACTTCCTTCAAGTATTAAACTGTGCCTGGTAATTTTTTCTAAAAGCTTATTTATTTAAAATTAATAGTTTTTGCCCAAACCCTAGTGATATCTAATCAGTCGACTCAAAGTGTGAAGATTATGTGAAAGCAGCATGGTGCCAAAGTGAGTTCCAAGTGCTTCTTACGAACTTTGAGATAACTGAATCTAATTCTTTTGATGGGGCAAGAAAATGACTATCTGAGGAGCCCATCTGAGAGCAAATATTTGGAAATGTTAAATATATTCACAAACTTATTTTGATAACAAATATTTATTAAATGCCTGCTGGGTGCCAAATCTTACAACGGTCATACACAATCCAAAAATGAATAAGGCAAGAGTTACCTCAAGAATTTCACAAGTTAGTAAGATTTAGCCTTATTAAATTTTTGTGTGTGTATTTATTTAGACTCCTGAAATTTATTTTTCTGGTTTTTCTTAAGAACTGGCCAACACTGGTTTAAATATATTAGATCCTATTTTTAATGATATAAACTGTCAGATACCCAGCTGATAATGATGTATTTAACAAGTACAGGCTAAATAGGAAAGTGAAGATTTCCAAATTATTTTTGGATAAGATTTTAGATAACTCATAATTCACATCTTATGATTAAGAAAAAGCTGTCATGACTCTTACTTAAAACCGTGTTTCCAAATTCTAGTTGAAAGGGACTTCTTTTCTATATTCTATGCCTTCTACATGAAAAACTATTGGTGCTAATGATTATCTTAATTGATTGTGGAATTATTATTTACCTTGTGTTCTGCAGGTAGAAGTCATCCTCTGTTCTTGACATGCTTCATGCATTATTCCTTATCATTAGCAGCTTAATGGACATATTTACTGTGTATTAGTTTTCCAGACCAAGAAATTCGTAAAGTGGCAGTTGGACAACTAGACCGCCTCTTGAATGATGAACTACTGGAATACCTCCCACAGCTAGTTCAGGTAAGAACACAGTGTTGCTCAGGAATCCAGGATTTTAACTAATAATTGTCTTAAAAGTTCTGAATGAATCATCAGTAGGTAGAGTACCTGAAAGTGATATTGCAATTTGGCCAGCCAACAGGCTAAATTATAGCTCATAGGTCAACACGGATAATGAAGACATTCTCTAACCAAAACTGATGCAAGTACAAAAAGGTATAAAAAATGATTTCATGTATTAAGCACAACGTGGAAAAATTAGAAATGCTTGTGATGAAATCTTTTCATTCACGTATGTAAAGAAATAAAAATTAATAAAACAAATGCTCTATACAAAACAATTATGTGCTAGGTAGGTCTTCATGATTTAGCAGTTTCGTTCCTTTCCCTTAGAGCAGTGGTTCTCAACCTTCCTAATGCTGCAGCCCTTTAATACAGTTCTTGTGGGTCGCAACCCACAGGTTGAGAATCGCTGCCTTAGAGGATTATAATATTGATCATAAATCTTATAAGAGTAATTTCTAACACCCAAATTTTGGCACAGAATAGTACCTTTTAGGGAAATTAAATATCATGATGTTATAGAAATTTTAAAAAATAACATAACCTGGAAGTATAAGCAAAAACTGATTTATTCTGAATATGATGAAAGGTAATGACCCTGTATATGGCTGAATATGCTAAAATTGTGGGGCTTACGTTTTGTTTTGTTTTAATTCAGCTGTTTTCTTATCTAAAAGATCAAATCGTAGTTGCAAGCTGTTTTAAATGGCAGGTGCCTCAGGTTTGGTACAGAACGGGAGACTCTAAGAAGGATGGGCATCTGTCTGAAGTCATTCTAAGTAGAGAGAGCTAGTTTATAAACAGCTGCACCTTAAGTACTATCCGATCTGTCTATCAATCCTTGTAGGAGGACTTCCCTACACTTATCAGTAAAGTGAAAATTATGCCTAATCTGACTTGTAGAATCGTTCCTTATCTCATGACTCATGGGTATGGACAACACGTTATCTCTATCCCACCTCAAAAAAGTTAAGTAATGTAGAACCTCCAGAGCTGACCAGCACCCCACTTTGATCACCTCCTTAAATTAACCTAATTTTCATGGACCCAACATCCATGTTTAAGTACCAGCATAGTAGGCTTAATTCTTTAAGTTGACCACCTCCATATGTTGACTAGTATGTTACAGTCCCTAGGGATTGGGTGGTCAACTTGCAGAGATTCTACTATATACATAAAAGTTTGTAGATATGAATTTCATTCAAAAACCTCAGTCTGAGTCAGTACACTTGGCCCCAGAAGTATCCCAGAGAGCTGTATTTCTGCAAATCTAAAATGAAGTGCACACAGAATTAACAGCAAATATACAGAAGGTAAAATCAGATAAAGTTACAACTATATTCTAATTAAAAATGAAAATTATAAAATGTTTTGAGATGGAAAGAAATGTATAATGTGACTAGAAAATAAATAAAAATTGGAAGAAATTTGCAAACATGCATTGTAGAGTTTGCCCTCAGTCTTCTGTGCTTCATCCTGACTTGAAACATTCCAACACAAAAATTCTTAATCCTTTTGATTATTTTCTGAAATCATGTTGTTTTGTTATATTCTCATGTTAGAATTATACAGGCCATTTTAAAGCACTGAGAAAAGACTCTAAGAGCTTACCAAAAATAGGAAATACGGTTCATAAGGTTTAAGTCAAATAAGACACAAACCCAGAAGTTACTGCAAACCACTTCTTAATAATGTGGTGTATAACAGAAAAATTGCCCACGTTCTACATGGTGAGGAAGGATTTGCGGGGTGGGGATTGTACCAGTAGATAGGGTAAAACAGGAAGTTTGGAACAAGGGAAGCAATTCAAGAGCACCAAATAGTTACCAGGCTCAAGAAGAAACAATGGAGCTGACATCTAAAAAGACAATCGTAGAAGCAAACTCTGAAACATACCTCCTGCTCATGTGCCCTTAAGATATGCTCAATTTTAGGGCATAAATAAAACCCACGACCTAGTCGGCCTGGCATTAGAAAGTGAGTGGAAGAAGGTCACAGGCTCAGTATGTGACAGTGCACATTATGGTCTTTGCACCTTCAGACACCACGAGGAATTTGGGGAAATTTACTGAAATCATCTTTAAATGGTTTATTGAACGACCGAAGATAAACATTTTGCCTGTCAATCTGGGATGAGCATTTTTACAAAGAGAACTGGGTTTAATCTCACATGTTCAGAGTCCATGATGATGTTGGCAACTCAGGTCCAGACTTCTCCCAGGGTAGTCCCAGCAGAGGTCTGAATTAATTCCCTGAAGATATTAGGGGCTACCATGACTGTCTGTGTTTTCTACCAGGTCAGGTTTCCTAGAAAACCTAAGGAGTCATTCACGGTGGCAACTGGGAAAGGATGATGTCAGTAACAATCAGTTTTGAAACTCTAAGCAAAGCTTCAGGTCTGCAGGTTAATCCTGATTCACTAGTTGGTGGTTGCACACTAGAGTGTGCATTGAGCTCCAAATGGGAAGATAGATCATTTTCCTAGTAATACCATTTTTAAAATCCAAGGACATTGTTCATATCAATTTTTGTGCCAGGATTCCCCCTCAGGCCACAGTTGAACTCCACCAACTATCAGCTCCCGTTTATTATCCTGTGATTATAAAGCACAAACAAGAAAAGGAAGCAAAATGGCACAAACTCAAATTATGTATCGTGTGTGTTCTGTATTATTAGTTATGTACCAGCTAATGAAGCCATTCAGACATTATTATTGGCATTTTGTTAAAATGTGCAAGCTATTTTCCCTGTACTTCCTCAAACCTATTAAGTCCTTCTGTATTCTGCTATAATTTTGACACTGAGGGGGAATAAAAGAGTCATTATGTCTCTTACTTCAGGCTGTCAAGTTCGAGTGGAACCTTGAAAGTCCATTAGTGCAACTCCTTCTTCACCGCTCATTGCAAAGCATCCAGATTGCCCACAGTCTTTACTGGTAAGATGAACTAAAACAGGTTAGGATGCTTATTTTTTTTTTAATTATTAACCTTCCTGTAGAATAGCTTTAGAAAAAGTAGAAGACTTCTTTACTTTGTAACTGATACAAATTGTGAGTTAAAATTAAGCTAATTTCAAGTCTTTGTGAAAATTATTGTCACTTAAGAGAATCATTTGTCATTTACAAAAATTTTCTTTTGCAACATTGTCACTGTTAAACAGCAAGTTAAATTCAAATTGGAATTTTAAATCTTTATGATACCTTTCTTGTTGCTTTTCCCTGACAAGCCATTTGTATATCTACTCTGTAAAGATTTCAGTATAATATCTAGTTATAAGACTGAATGTTTTGAAAGAACATGTGCTTTGAAACTACTTTCTGTGCAATATGAATTGTAAACAATGGAATCTGATGGCCACATTATACTTTTTCTGTTGAAAATTCCTAGAGCAGTAAACTTTTCCCAAAGCATAAATGCGGAATATTATTAATGGAGAAAAAGACTTATAGAGGAGATATCAAATTTTCTCTTATCATGATGTATTCCTAATCTTATTCAACATGGTGTTCTTTGCATGCTATTTTTCCTACATTTTTTAAATTAACAAACCTCATAGATTCAATTTTTTTTTTTCTGAGACAGAGTCTAACTCTGTTGCACTTGGGTTGAGTGCCATGGCATCATCATGGTTCATAGCAACCTCACACTGTTAGGCTAAAGAGATCCTCATGCCTCAGCTTCCTGAGTAGCTGGGACTATAGCACCCATCACAACGCCCAGCTAATTTTTCTATTTTTAGTAGAAGTGGAGTCTCATTCTTGCTCAGGTGAGTCTCGACCTCCTGAGCTCCAGTAATCCACCAACTTCAGCTTCCCAGAGTGGTGGGATTATAGGTGTGAACCACCAGGCTCAGCTTATAGATTCAATTTCTGTTTCATAGCACAAAATTCTAACACTTCCAAGTGTCCATGACCTAAGGGCAAAATTATATCTATCTTTAAAAAAAATTTTTTCTAGAAGATATGTCACCTGACAGAAATGTCAGAAAATTACCTGACACTACAGAATGTTATTGTATGTAGATTTACATAAAAGAGAGATGTGTTTTGCATGGATATGCTGTGTTAATTCAACTAATGAGATATTCATACACTTTCCTTTCTTGGGAGAGTTCTGCTTTCTGTTGCTTGGTGAAAGTAATTATAAGGGACAGATTTTCAGGATAATAATTTATATCTCCCTGCCTGTGAATTTCTGCAATACCTAGTTTCTTTTCCTCTTTTCTAGCCTTTCTAAAGTATTTATTTTCTCTGATTTTTTAAAATTTCAAAATACTAATGAGGTATACGTGTATTTGTTTCTTGGATAGCATTCCTAATGCTTTGCTCACCCAAATAGTGTTCATTGTAGGCTTTGGCCACACCCCTTCTAGGCCCTCCTTTGTGGAGCCAGTGATTTTTACTTCTTTCTATGTCTATGTATGCACATCAATTCGTTCTAAATTATTAGAGAATATATGTGGTGTTTGTTTTCCCATTCTTGAGATACTTCACTATGGATAATGGTCTCCAGTTGCATCCAAATTACTGCAAAGGACATTAATTCATTTCTTTTTATGGCTGAGAAGTACTCCATGGTATATGTACCACATATGGTTAGTCCACTCATGAATTGATGGTCACTTGGGTTGATTCCAGATCTTTGCCACTCTGAATTAGGCTGCAAGAAATATTCAAATGCAAGTATCTTTTTGATTAAATGACTCCTTTTCCTTTGGGTAGATACTCAGTGGTGGGATTGCTGGATCAAATGGGGAGTCTCCTTTCAGTTCAAGAAATCTCTAGACTGTTTCCCATAGAGGTTGTCCTAATTCGCAGGCCCCTCTACAGCGTGCCTTTAGCCCTGCATCCGTACCGGATTCTATTGTTTTTGGACTTTTTAATAATAGCCACTCTAACAACGGAAGGTGATACCTAATTTTGGTTTTAATTTTCATTTCCCTGGTGATTAGTGACTTTGAGAATTTTTTCAGTTTTTTTGCCATTTGTCTATCTTCTTTAGAAAAGTTTCTGTTCATGTCTTTTGCACACTTTTTAGTATTTTTTTCTTTCTGATTTATTTGACTTCTTTGTAGACTCTGGATATTTCCCTTTATCAGATGTACAGTTTGTGAATGTGTTTTCCCCTTGTATAGGCTGTCTATTTCCTTTGTTGTACAGAAGCTTTTTAATTTAATCCAGTCCCATTTATATACTTTTGTTGTCCCTGTGATTGCATTTGGAATCTTAGTAATAAATTATTTGCCTAGGCTGATACACATATGTAGATAATTTTTTCCTACATTTTCTTCTAGAATTGCCATGGTTTCATGCCTTACATTTAAGTCTTTTATCCACCTTGATTGTGAGTGGTGAGAAATAGGGGTCTTGTTTCATTCTTCTGCATGTTGCTATCTAATTGTCTCAGCACTGTTATTATTATTATTATTTTTTGAGACAGAGTCTCACTATGTCCCTCTCAGTAGAGTGCTGTCACACTACCTCAACTCTTGGGTTTAAGTGATTCTCTTGCTTCAGCCTTCCACATAATTGGGACTACAGGCTCCCACCACAATGCCCAGCTATTTTTTTGTTGCAGTTGTCCTTGTTGTTCAGCTGGCCTGGTATAGGTTCGAACCTGCCAGCCTCGGTGCATGTGGCTGGCACCATAACCACTGTGCTATGGGTGCTGAGCCACACTGTTGTCTATTAAATAGAGCTTCCTTCCACCCTCCACCAAAGTGTATGCTGTTGTTTGTTTTGCCGAAGATCAGTGGGTTGTAGGTTGATGGTTTTATATCTGAGTTCTCTGTTCTGTTCCATTGGTCTGTGTCTTTGTTTTTGTAAAAATACCATGCTGTTTTGGTTACTATTGCCTCATAGTATAGTTTGAAGTCAGCTAACATGATAACTCCAGATTTGTTCTTTTTGCTTAATGTTGCTTTGGCTACAGACTCTCTTTTAGTTTCAGACAAAGCATAAAATTATTTTTTCTAGATATGTAAAATATGACGTTGGTGTTTTGATGGGGCTTGCACGGATCTGTAAATCAGTTTGGGTAATGTGAACATTTTAATGGTGTTGATTCTACCAATCCATGAGCACGATGTGTTTTTCCATTTGTTCGTGTCATCAGTGATTTCTTTCTTCCGTCTTTCATATTCTCTTTGTGAAGTCTTTCACCTCCTTTTAAAAGTATATTCTTAGGTGTTTTATTTTCTTTGTAGCTATGGTGAATGGTATTAAGGCTTTGATTTGACTCTCAGTGTGACAGTTACTGGTGTGAGGGAATGCTACTGATTTTTGTATACTGATTTTGTAACCTGAGACTTTAGTGACTTTCTTTATCAATTCCGGGATTCTCTTGGTGGAGTTTTTGGGATTTTCTAGAAATAAGATCATATTGTCAGTAAAAAGCAATAGTTTAAATTCCTCATTCTCAAATGGACACCCTTTATTCCTTTCTCTTGTCTGACTACACTGCCTAGTATTTCCAGTACAATGTTGAACACAAATGCTGACAGTTGGCACCCTTACATTGTTCTAGTTCTGAGGGAGAATGCTTCCAATTTTTCTCCATTTGGTATGATATTCTCATATATGGCTTTTGCATATATAATTTAGAGGTATGTTTCTTTTAGGCCTTGTTTGTTGAAGGTTTTCAGTTGTGAAAGGGTCATGGATTTTGTTGTATGTTTTTTCTACATCTGTTGAGATGATTGTATGGTCTTTTTTTGTTACTATTTCTGTGGTGAATCACATTTCTTGATATATGGATGTTGAACTATCATTGCATCTCTGAGATGAAGCTTCCTTGGCAGTGGTGGAATATTTTTTTGACATGATGTTGAATTCAGTTTGCTAGCTTTTAGTGAGCATCTTTGCATATATATTCATAGAGGATTTTGGTCTATAGTTTTTTGTTGTTGTTGTTGTTGTTGTTGTTGTGTCAATTCCTGGCTTTGGTATCAAGGTGATACTGGCTTTGTAGAATGAGTTTTGGAGGATTCCATTCTTCTTGATATTATGGAAAAATTTCTGCCTTATGAGTACCAGCTCACCTTTGTAGGTTTGATAGAATTTGGCTGTGAATCTACCTGGTACAGGGCTTTTTTTGTTGGTAGATTTTTTAAATTAATACTTTAATCTTACAGTTTGTTATTTTTCTATTACAGAGCTCTTTTTCTTCCTGATCAAATATTGCAAGGTATATGTTTTCAGGAATTTGTCCTCTCTTTTCAGTGGGGTATTCAGACCATTAATATTGGGTGATAGAACTGATAATTGGGTGCTGGTCTGTTCATCATGTTGGGTAGTACATTATTGTTATTCCCCCTCCCCCCATGCTATTGTTTTATATGATTTTTGAGCTTTAGTTTTGGATGATTTTACACTCATGGGTATCTATTGTATTGATCCATATATAAAGCAGTTCTGAGTGTTTCCTCAGGAAAAGTCAGGTCATGATAAATTCCCTCTATGTTTTCTTATCTGGAAAAGTCTGTGTTTCTAATACATATATGAAACTTAATTTTGAAGGATACAAAATTCTAGGCTAACAGCTGCTCTATTTGAGAAGGCTGAAGATGGGGCCCCAATTCCTTCTGGCTTATAAGGTCTTTGCTAAGAGGTCTGCAGTTAGCATGATAAGTTTGCCTTTGTAAGTTACTTGATGTTTTCACTTCATGGCTCACAGAAGTTCTTCCTTTGTGTTGACTTTGGCCAGTCTGATGAACATACATCTTGGATGATCCGTCTTTACAGTGAATCTGCCAGATGTTTGTTGAGCTTCTTGTCTGAATATCTAAGTCACTAGCAAGACTGGCAAGTTTTCCACAATTATTTCTTCAAATAGGTTTTCCAGATGTTGTGCTTTTTCTTCTTCACCCTCAGGGTGATTTTTAAAAATTGATTAGGGATACCTATGATTCTTATATGTAGTTGCTTTATATAATTTC